CGGCCGGCGCGGGTAGCGGGAGAAATTCCGCCGGGACGCGTCAAGCCGCGCCGCGCCGGTGTTGCGCTCGCCACCGCCCGGCGTCGCGTCCCCGCCCGTTACTATAGTTTTATTTTTTTCAAAAAAGCACCCCGTCCACCCTCACTGCTGCCCCCAGAAGAGGTTTTTTTTTTAACGTCCTGTTGCTTCACGGGGGACTCTCGGGGTGGGCGTCACGTGGCCCGACACGTAGCCGTGGGGTCCGACAGCGCGTGCGCGCGTCGAGGCCGATGACCACGCCCCTTCCGAGGGTCGCCCCGCCCTCGGACCGGAGCGTGCGTGGGGGAGGGGCGGGCCCGGAGCGCGCCTGCGTGGGGTGGGGCGGGGCGAGGGGGTGGTGGCTCCGCCCTGCACGCTTCGGCCGTCGGGCTCCTTTGGCGCCGGGGCGGGCGAGTGAGAGGGTGAGGGCGGGCTGAGTGGGTTTCCAGGGCGCCGTAGGGTTCGTCTCCGCAGACCTCCGGGGCGCGGGTCCCGCCTGTCACCGGTGGATCCAAGCCTGTGGGTCCCGCCGTCGTCGACTCGGCGCCCCTGGGGCTGGAGAGCGGCCTGGCGGGGCGGGCGAGCTGCGGCGGCGGCAGCCCGTTACTCCGCGAGCGGTCGCAGAGCGAGCCCGCGGCGTCTGCAGTGCGCGCTTCCTGGTGCCCCGGTGCTTCGAGACAGGCTGAAGTCGCAGGAGCGCAAACGAGCCTGGCCGGGTCGGAAAAGCCAAAGGCGCTGTTTAATTTTACGAACTTGAAAAATATCACACAGTGAGCAAGAGGTTTTTCCGTACACTGTGATGGATTTCAATATTTATATTGGTTTGGGAAACAATTTTCTAAAGTGTGTCCTTGAACTGCTCTTTGACATATAGAGGTTGTCAGTCCCTAAATTTGCATCTGGGTTTTCTTTGAAGTTCTTTAATGCGTGTTCCGTTAATGTACGCGCAATCATCTAACACCAACCATCTGAGAACAATACGTGGCTGAAATTTTCTGTAAATCATGTTTTAACTGTGAACTGAAGTGGTTTGTATTGATTGCTAAACTTTGCTTTACACGAATTCCGAAGAACCCTTCTGAATTTGTGTTGTACTGAAGGTACTAAAAGAATCTGAAACAAATTGAGTGCCAGTAGTTCTGGGTTTACTTAAAGATCACCGAGATTTTTTTAAGTTATTTTGATAGAGGAAATGAAATTGTCTTGCTGGGCAAAATTCAAATCATGTAACTTTTCAAATATATTAAATTTCTTTACAGCCATAGCTCTTCTTAGAACCATAGATGTCTTCTTAATTATGCTTAAAGGATGAAATGTGTAAGAACAGGGAATAGTAATTTGATCAAAAAGCTGGTATCTCCGTAAGTACTGTAAACTATGTTTTTTCAGTATGTCCAGAAAAGGTAGCTTTAAAAGATTTTGATGCTAATTAACTCAATTTGCTCTGCTTGTGTAGAAGATGCAACTCCTGTTCTTAGTTGGTTCATTCATTTTTTAAGCTTCCAGGCCTTGTGCTGTATACCTATGCATTTAAGTTAATTATCAGTACAACTTGTGGCTTTTTTTGAACCTGACTCAGGTTCAAATTCAATTGTATTATATTCTAGAGCTCATGTTCTTTGCCTTTTGACCAACCCTATCCAATAAATCCATCGAACTTTATGGTGGAGTTCTACCATTTTGGACTCGAAGAAATTGCATTTTTCATGAGGTCCAGCTGCTTTTTATAATCAAATTGAAATAGATTAAAGACCAGTGACAGGCACTGTTCATTTCCTATTTACCATATTCATCTCTTATGGTTATAGCATTTAACTATAGTAATAGCTATAATGTGTTACCTTTTTAAATGTCTGTAGATTGCTTCTCTGCTTACAGTTTTTCAATGATTTCTCCTTTCAGGAAAATATAAATCCAGAGTTTATCAAGGCCTGTGAGACTCCACAGGGTTCTGGGTCCCTGCCCGTTGCTGGCCTCCCCCAGCTCCCTGGACTCCTGCCCCATAACATGCTGTCCTCTCGCCTAGTGTCTCCTCTCCTTTGAAAGCCTACACATACATGCAGGGCCTGCTCCCACACTCTCAGACCCCCCTACCCCCGAGCTGTGCCCGCACACACAGCTCTCTTCCACTGTCTACTTCCTGCCCTTTTAATTCCTTTCCTAGCACTTATTTCCACTTACTATCTCCTATCCGTTGGGTCAGTTTGCTACCACACTGAGTTCCATTTAGAGCAAGGGCTTTATTTTCTTTTTGTTGGAATTCCCAACACTTAGAAGAGCACATGATTAAGTGTAGCAACTTATTACCTGTGTGTTCAAAAAATAAATATCAAATACTTATGTACCAAGAAGGCCACAAAACCCTTACCTGTTCTGCAGCTTTTAATCAGCACAAACATTTGAGGTAGGCAAGAATAGCTGTATTTCAGAGATGAGATAGCTGATTGCTTAGGAGCAGTAAGTACCTGTTGTAAGCAGAATGGATCCACACAGGATACCACTGTCTCCCTCGAAAGTCCTTATAGTAGATTTTTTGACTGTGAAAAAGTATGCCATCTATACTGACACTTGAAAATGGTTCCACACTTTAATACAAGTAATTAACCAGAAGTGGAAATACATTTTATGTTCTCTGAAATTTCGTTGGTTCCATTTGCTTATTGGTGTTCTTGACATTTAAAATAGAAAATTATAGTATTCCAACACTTCTTCATCCTCATGGAGTTTTTGCAGGAACTAAAATGTTCCTTGAACATAATATTCAGTGTTTGATGGCTTTTTGTCCCAGTGTTCTTTTTAAAATCCTTAACTTTTCATAAAAGGGAATGGAGCATTCTCAGTATCTTTCTAACATAATTGTTTCCTTACTGTCTTAATCCATTTCTTTGAGTATCCTTGTAAATTGTGAGATGACTTATCCCCATTCAAAAGATTAAATACGACACAATTTAAGTATGGCTGTCTTAGTGTACTGAGTATCAGTTATATGTATATGCATGTCATTAACTCTAGGGCCCTACAGGTTGGAGTTAACAGCATGCGTATTTGAAAAGTTATCACATCACTGCCAAAGAAAGGCTAAGGACAAAATGCTGTAAGAAGAGCTGGAAGTACTACCATTCCCTGCCTGGAAGCTACAAGACTGCCGTGGGAAGGGTGTTTTATCTGGTGGTTGAGGGAAGAAAGTACTAAGGGAGGGCAATGACAAAAAAAAATTGGAAAGTGGAAAAGTACCAGGCTGTATGGTAGTGGTTTTTCTTGATGCCAGATTCTGGTTGGGCTCAAATGGGAAGCTACAGTGTTTGTAGATGAAGGACCTTGGGAATTTTTTTTAATGCAAGGAAATGAATCAGATAGCGAGCGACATAGATTCCTTTCAGTGAGGCATATTTATATCTCTTAGTGCAAATATAGCATTTGTAGAATGAAAGGCTTTTCCCCGTTGAGGCACTTCAATGTTAATTGTGCTGCTTTTTTAAACCACTAACTTGATACTTCCAGATGTAGTGCTACAATTTAGGCTACAATTTAGCCTAAACCACTGCACAGCAGTTAAATGTTAACTGAGGGTGTAAAGTTTCTACTCATTGACCCTAAATGAAACTTTAGAGGTAAAAACACATTCAGCCAGGATGCAGGCCCTTGTGCCGTGTAATCAGACCTTCATTCCAGGCACCAACTAAAAAATAACGGTAGGACTATGAGAGCAAATCAAAATGTATTTGTTTTGATCAACTTTCAGACTTGTGCTTTTATGATTACAAAACAGTTTCAGTACTGTTCACCTGGATTGAGTTAATTTGTGATTTACTTCCTCTGGGATCTATATTCTTCAGGGTGAGTCTTCAGGTATTTTAGTATATTAAGCAGATATCATTTGATTCATAGCCTGTGAGTTAGTTTTAAGTAGCTAATGTAGGGAAACATTTCATGAACAAGGGAAATAACTACTCGTGTCCGAGACATTTAGGCAAATGCCATTATCCTTTACTAAAATTTAACTTAGAGACTGAGTAAATTTTCCAGTGATTTCTCTGTATATGTGCTTTCTGAGCAGTTTCTGGTGGGACCATGGAGAGACAGAGTGAGAGAAAGGAAGACACACAGTTATAGAGTCCCTATGCAAGGCCTGGATAGCACTCACTTAATAATTATCCCCACTTTACTGCTGTAAAAGCAAAGCACAAAGGGTTAACTTACATGACTCATGTGACAGCCAGTGAAAATGCTGGTGAAAGGATTCTGCACCTTCCAAGTCCTTAGTGACTTAAACCATACTGCTGCCTTTTTTGTAAGTTAAATACAGATGGCCAGGAGCTCTTATCTTTTAATGACTGAAGGCATAGCTGTCATCTTTTCAGTCTTTTTGTTGTTGTTCAGTGTTCATGATACTGGATCTCCTTAATATTGTTTGGACAAGATATCATGCCTATATCTTAGGCATAAGAATAACTGAATACTGGGAAGACAACAATACACAATATATTAGTTGTTGTAACTCTCCTAACTTGTTTTGAAACTCTATTGTTATTTTTATTGTTTTCTCTTTAAAATAAAAACTTCTTTAAAAAATTAAGCTCTTACATCTAATTGAAATACTGATGGTGTTGTATAAAGAAAGAAAGGGAGCAGGTTCTGTTCACACCTGTAATCCCAGGACTCTGGGGGGCTGAGACAGGACTGTAAATTTGAGCCCAGCCTGGGCAGCTTCACCACTTAGGGAGAGTCTGTCTAAAAATAATACTTTTTAAAGCCTGGGGATGTAGTTCAGTGCAAAGGCCTTGTGTTCAATTCCTAGTACTGGGAACATACATATAAAAAATCCTCATTGGTTGTCTTCTAATAAGCTGTTAAAACAAGTAACTCCATCTATATGGAACTTGAACTAATCCTGGAAAATAAAATTCTAATTCTGAATAAAATATCGTCATTGAGGTCAAGAGTTGACTTTGTGGTAGTTTCATTTCTATGCATAACACTATATACATTGTTATATACTGTGTTATTACATGGGTGAATGATCATGTAGTGCCAATAAAGTCTTCAAGTGTTCAGTTTTGTATACCTTATTGAAAATTTAGAAGATTTTGTTCATTTTTGTTTCCCTTAGGCAATAACATACACTTGGCTGAAAGTCTTAAATTTTCATATTTCCAAGGTTAACCCAAATCTAGTTGGGGGAGGGCTCAACACATTATACCTTAATAAGAAGTGGCTGCTGAGCATAGTTGGCGCACACCTCTAGTCCCAGCACTCGGGAAGCTGAGGCAGTGGGATCACCACAAGTTCAAGGCCAGCCAGCACTACACAGCAAGACCTTGTCTCAGAAAAAAAAAAGTGAAACACTAAAACCTTCATTTGGCTGGGCAAGGTGGCACACACCTATAATATAGCTCTCATGGCTAAGGCAGGAGGATCACAAGTTTGAAGCCACCCTGAACAATTTTGTGAGTCTGTGTTTTAAAATAAAATGTAAAAAGGTTGAGGGTTAGGGAAGGGCTGGATATGTAACAGGCCCTGGAATCAATCCCCAGTTTCAGGGTGGGGACATCATCTGGAACTCCTAGTGAAGAAAATTACTACAAGTAGAATATAAAGCTTCCTTGAATGTTAGAATTCACTTTCTGTTCTTAAAATACTTTCTTAATAAGTAGTCCACTTTTCATATTACTTGTTTGAATAAACAAAAGAAAAAATATAGTAATACGTAGACATATTTGGAATCCAAGGATTGCAAGAAGCTGTGTAAGCTGCTCACAGTTCCTTTCCCTTCAGTGACCATGCAAGGTAGGAGAAGCTGGCAAGGGACTCAGTGATATCCTGTATTCAGTTTTTGTGAAATGATTCAGTGATTCATAAGAAACGTTTTGGAGTGTAAGAGACATTGCTCTTGGCAGGAAGCATACCATTTGAAGTGACTGGGCCAGAGTATCCATAGTCCCCTGAATCCATTACAGGTCAGAAGTGAATATCTCTTTGTGTATTGTGTGGAGCTGGGGATTGAACCCTGGACTATCACACTTAGTTACATTTCCAGTCCCTTTTTTTACTTTTTATTTTGAGATGGTCTTGCCAAGTTACTAAATTGCCTGGACTGGGCTCAAACGTGTGATCCTCTTGCTTTACCAGAGTGCTAGGATTATAGATATGTGCCACCATGCCCAGCTATACTTCTTACTTTACCATTAAGGAGGCTTCTATAAAGACATTTCTCCAAATCACTTTCACTTCATTACTTATTTGGATGTGGGATTAAAAGCAACTATTCACAGAGCTGGTATTCAACAGCTTTTCAGTTTTTAAATTTGGAAGTATATTCACACCACAGAGTGAACAGTCACTATACTTTGCCTAACTCCTCAACCCTCTCTCAGAGTCCCAGGGGCTCTCCCCAGAACCCAGCAGCCACAGGTATAAAACCTGGCGCCTTGTCCCTTCCAGGGCTAGCAGGCATTCTGGTCATCCCACTTGTCAGAAGTTGTTTCAGTCTCTCTATATACTTGGAAAAGTATTTTATTTCATATTTTCATGTGCAATAAACCTGCATTTACTGGTTTCTACTAAGTGCAATGAAAATCGATAATATTTTGTCTAAAATATGGTATACAGGTTGTTTGAACAAATATCCAATTTTAGAATAAAGATTAGTGAAAATCATGTTTATCTTTTTAGAAGGAAACACCAAAACCCTCAGTATTACCTTCTATTTTCTCCCAAATAATACTTTAAGGAACAGGTCGTTGCCACAACCGAGAAATGATTAATCATCCTTGTGATAAACTCTTTATATTTCACATCCAAACAGTATCTCTGTTCTTTTACCAGTCCTGTATAGCCATTCTTCTTCATTTGCTGAGCTGTACAAGGAACACTGATGACACCAGCATTTACTATTTCCTAATTACTCTGTCTAAGCCAATCTGTAAAAATGCGTTACAGTTACATTTTATAGATCTGCCTGGACCACCAACTTGATTAATTGGCATTAATTACCTTGTATTTTTCTGAATATCCATGGATAGTAGGTAAGCATTGTTTTTAGAGGAAATAACATGTAGTGTGGTACAATGAGTAACACTTTTTGTCTAACAAGTTCTAAAATGTGTGCCCTATTTTTATACTGTGAGCCAGAAACTAAGTAGTTGTGAGAAACTGCAAAGCTAAAGCTGTGACAGGCTGTGGAGAAGTCTTTGCCAATGGTGATTGTAACATGTCTCTGTCCAGGTAAAGCTGTCAGAGGAGCAGAAAGACTGAGGAGGGAATTAGGAAAATAAACTATTACATTGTGAAATCAGGAAAGAGAAAAGGACTTGGATCAAGGAGTTTAAAGACCATCTGGTAACTCTCCCATCAGCTGACATGGCAGCACTAAGCCCCAGCCTCCTCCAGTTCCTCGCTGGGTGGCCAGGCTGCTGGTGGCAGCAGGCCCTCTCAGTGCCAGGTCCCTGACCTCTGGGGACCTACAGCCAAACTTGACTTTCTCCTCTCTGTCTCTCAGCTGACCAGATTTCAACATTTCAGCTGGTCCCATGCCTGATTTCATGAAAGCACACTCGCACTTGACCAGGCAGCTCAGCCAGGCGTTGCCGCTGTGAACCGGGACAGGGAGCAGACATGACGTGTAAGACAGCTAAGAGTCAGGCCGGGCCCGAGCAGCCAGACCGCTGGGGGAAGGAGGCCTTTCATGTTTGGACTCGGACAACTGGTTTGCGCCCTTTTCATAAGTGCTTCCCTCTGCATTGTGAAAATAGGAGATAATAACACCTTAGCCCACAACATAGCCATCTGCCAAGGCTGTAGAACTGCTTCTCCCAGATGACATGGGCAGACTGCCCACGAACCCTGAGCAGTGAGAGAAAGTTCTCCTAAGACTGTGCCTCCTAACAGAAATCCAGAAGAGCAGCTGAAGAAGCCACAGCTAAATCCTGGCTCTGCTGACTTACAAGGAGTACATCAGCTGTCTCTGCCGCTCTTTTCTCACCTGCGAAATGGGATGCTGCGACATAAGGATATTAGGATTACATAAGCCCAAGAATCTGTGAGCCCAGCAAATTCCCCAGGACACACACACTCTCTCTCTCTCTCTCTCTCTCTCTCTCTCTCTCTCTCTCTCTCACACACACACACACACACACACACACACACACACACACGGCTTCCAAGATTCTTCCAAGAATCATTTTAAAAAGTAAAGAGTAAAACCTGGATAGTGCTCAGATTTATCAATGCACGTACATTTTGGAATGTGTGTAAATATCTCTATGTATCTTGCAGTCTTATCCACAAAAAGTATTCAGTCGTGGGTTTTCTGCTGCTGCTTATTGCACAAACTGTTTCCTGTTCCCAGGACTGCTGACAGCAGGAAGTAAAAGTACAAAAAGCCTGATGAAAGGACCTATATCTCAGGCTGCTGTCTTGTCAGCAGCAGCAACAGTTTCTCTGAAGCTGGCCTCTGGCCTCCACAATCTCCAAGACCTGGTTTTCAGCTGTAGGCAGGCAGAAGTAGCTCCTCAGTAGTAGAAGAGTGGGAAGAGGCCACCTCCTCCTGCCCTAGAAGCAGCTGACCTGTCAGTGAAGGGGCTTAGAAGATCACATGTCCTGTAAGATTCAGGAGCTAGGTGGACAGACGCTCTACTAAGACCTGCTGGGTTCCCCTTGATGCCCAGGTAAACTCCATTGTGATGCTCCAGCACTGAGGGCTACAGTGAACCAGCCCAAAGGCTTTCTGGGGTCCTTACCCCCAGGCACCAGAGCCACAAGGGCACGCTCGGAAGGAGTCCTAAGGGTGTCTGCCTTACCTGCCCACTCAGCGAAACCGTGCTTCCTTTTACTCTCACCAGTCAGTAAGCAGTAGCACCAAGCACACTTTTTTTAAAAAAATCAGAAACCATGGGAAAAAAATAGCTCTTATTTTGAGGAACTTAAAAGTCTGTGAGTGGGGTGGGAGGAGACAAATGTACACAGTCACAGGTGACTTCTGCAAGTTCATTTTATTAGATTGAACATGAAGCAGCTGACAGCAGGGACTTAGTGTAGGTTCCCAGGCCTTCCCTAAAGGGAGGTTCATCTCTGCCAGTAAATGCCCTAAAGTCTCAGTCCCTGACACTATGACTTCCATCGCTTTCTGTCTATATCACTACTTAACTACCCTTACTTAACACTAAGGCCACACAAAACATTTTACCACTGCACCCAAGCAAAGGCCTGGACATACACAATTAAGTCAAGGTCGCTGAACAGAAGAAGAGGAACAGTAGTAGCAGTTTTCAAATACAGTAAACAGTTTTAAGACTAAATTATGAGTCTGGCTTCAGAGGCAGCCGCATACCCCAGTATAATACTAATGCTGAGCAGAATTTGTACTTGCATCTTGTTTTCTTGCTCACCAAAAGGCCATGCTATCAATAGATACCTAGGGACATGACTCAGTCTGCTATAATTGAATCTTGATATTATAAGAAACTTAGTAAGAATTTTTGTCTCGAGATCTATTTTTACAAAAACAATTATTGTAACTTGTACACAGTGATTATGCAGTATAAGTGTAATGCTATAGACCAGTGGTGGCAAACCTATGGCACATGTGCCTCAGGGGACTGTTTATATCATTCAAAGCTCTAAAAGGTTTGCCATCACTGCTATGGACCATTACAAAAAGGTTAGATGCCTGTTATTGTACCAGTTTTCCCCAAGGCAAAATTTTGTAATTTTACTGAGCTGTAGTGACTGCCACAAATGTAGGCTCTGAGGGACCCTACATGCCAGCCTCAAAAGTTCAACAGGTACCCCTGGACCTTTTCCCATTCTGTCTGTCATAATGTGGGTCTGAGGGTTATTTCCCATCATCCCCATGGCCTTGAGAGTCTCAGAGAGGCCATGAGTTAATCATGAAACTTGTTAGTATGATATACAGTAGTAGGACTTCTTATAACGTACACATACTAGTACCATGATGTGTACACCCTATAACTTTTTTCTTACTGTCAATCACTGAACTTCCTTGATATAAACCTTTGTCACCATCTTAGTGTAGCTCTTTTATAACTAGCTAATGTGAGACTGATAATTACTTTTCACGTGACATTGTATTTTGAGTATCAATTTTGTCTTCCCAGTATTCATTCATTCATCCATAATGTCATTCTAGTAGAGAAAACAAGGGGAGATTGCATTAAAAAAAGCAAAAGGAAAGAATTTGACAAAAGCAAATTGTCTTTCAGCAAATCTGTTTTGCTGAGAAGTAAACCTAGAAGCACTTTTACTTTTCCCTAGTTCTGAACACAGAGATGCTATCCTTACTTGCTAGCTCAGTATGTAGCTTCTTATCTCAACCCCTGGGCATTTATGTGGCTATAGTGCTTGTCTGTGTGCTTCAGGTTGGTTTGGGAAATTTTTAAGATTCTGCACTCTATTTAAGATCATATAGAAGATCCTTATTGTTGAAGAAAAGATCCTGGTTTCTGAATAATGTTAACTCTTGGAAAATATTAGAACGCATTCAATCTAAGAAGATCCTTCGATCTGTTATTTATTTTTAATTGGAATTGAATCAAATTACTGGTCAACTTCAAAAAGATTCTCTCATTTATTATATCTTTTCCCTCTTTGAGAATCAAAAGAAGGCCTCCAATCTAGTGCGAAAATCTTCATGCTAGTTAAGCCTGATCTGCACAGCAGCCAGCAGCTTCCATGACCCAGCAATTCCATCCACATAGCTCAGGAACCGGTGTTCACCCTTGGCAGTAACGAGCTTCTGGCGAGTGCAGTAGCCATCAAGTGTCTGTGATCCCCAAATCCTTACAAGAGAGATTTGCAAAGCTTTTAGTCTTTCCTTCCTAATTTAATTTTAGCTGCAGTTGTGATAAAGAGGTAAAGCCCATGGCTTCACCTGAATGCTAACATGAATTTCTATATGGCACACATCTTTCTGGTGGCCAAGAGCTGAGGACTAGAGATATGAGAACGGTGTCCTTGCCCTACATTTGGGTATTCTTCCACCAGCCGCCATCCACAGAGCCAGCCCGCGCCTGTCTTCTTTTCTCTTCGGAGCCCCCACCAGTGAGGGACCCATTTCTCCCTCCTAGCTGCTCCACAGTCTCTCTACCAGGCCTCTTCTCCCAGTGGCAACCATTGCAGAGAGGTGTACAGCTTTCCCCACCTCTGCTCACCCCTGCTGCTTCCAAAGTAAATAAATTAGAAAAACGAGGAAGGAGTTTCAGTTAGAAGGGTCAAAGAATTTAGAAAAAATCACCAGCACTGGGAAGATTACAAGATTGCTGAAGAATCTCCAAAACTACCAGCACTGGTTCCCAGAGCCTCCCCTTACTTGCATTTCAGTGGAGACCTGAGTCAGCCACCTGGAAGACTTCAGAAACTTTCTTATCAATCTTTTGTGTCGTTGAGGGCACTGGTACCTTCTCTGTTACAGGGTTGTGCCTCACTCTTGGAGACACCAGGCCCAGTCCCCAACTGACAACAGAGATGCTCTTCTTCCAGCCTTTCAAAGGCTTCTGCTTGCATGTCAGGCCACTTGTCCCAACCTTCAGTTTGCTCCCTTGTCCTTCAGGGAGGGCCTCTCGTTGAAATCTTAGAAGCTGTCTTTACTGTGCTTCCCCCGAGAGATTCTTCTGGAATCTTGAAAGTGCCTTCCAGGGCTCTTCTGGATGTCTCTCAGCTCTGACATGGGGCAGGATGTGGCCCTCTTCCTCACTGAATTTAAGTTGGCCTAGTGAAGAAATATGCCATGGTGACAAAAAGCTATCTCTGCTGTGTCACCTCAGACAGAGAGCTTAATCTCAGCAGTCGTCAGTTTTTTCAGCTGCTGTGTGGGGACACCAGTAACACCCACTTTATCATGTATGAGTGAGGAGAAAATGCCTAAAGACTTACAAAGGCCTTTGTATGTGACTGGAATAAAGTGATTGCTCAGTAAATATTGGCTATTATTATAATCCCTAAAAACACTCAGTTAACACTTTCAGATCTTGTAGGCTCATTGTGAGGTTTGGGGATACAAACAAGACTAATTGTGCCTTCAACAATTTTCCAGGGTGGCAAGGGGGGGCAAGTACCAAAAATTATAAAGCAAGGGGCTAAGTTTTTTAATAAGAATATGCTTGGAATCTTTTAGGAACACTGAACAGGAGAAAGTAACTCTACCTAAGGACAAGAACAGAGAAGGTTGTACAGAAAAACCTCCTAGAGAGCGGACCTGAACTGGGTAAGACCAGACCAGAAGAGAGTGGCTTCAGGTAAATGGAGGAAGTCTGTCCTGCTGGGAAGATGAGATGTGCAGTCTGCAGTGAAGGCTGGTCCTGCCCTCTGCTGACACTTGCCTGGTTCACAGGTAACAAATGGATCCAGTCTCCATAAAGCCATTAGGAAGAAAAGAGAGAGGTACTCTGGAGTCTGCCTCTGTGACATCCACCTCACAGTCTCAAAGACCCACCTCCAGATTACCCTTCCTGTAGGATGTCATTGTGCTTAAGGTGAGGAGCATGTTAATGATACAACTCCCACTGAATCTTCTGGTTGAGGGGTACAGTGTTGAACATTAAAGCCAGGGCTGCATACATACTAGGCCACTGCTCTGCCACTGAAATACATCCTTAGCCCTTGAGTGAATGTTTTTTTTCTATGTACCTGGCACTACCTAAGCCTTTACAAACATCTTATTTCCTATTCCCAAGAATTGTATAGTCATCTTATGTCAAACCCTGGCCCCAATAATTTCTAGTCTTACAACCTGGGGCAAATAAGGAACCTCTCTGTGCCTGTGTCCTTTTCCAGTAGGGATGTTGTCATACCTTACAAGCTGATGGTATGAGTCAATATGTATGAACTGTCAAGAGTAAGACTCAATAGCTGCTGCTACTGTGAAGCTACTAGTGCCTCTGGTTCTCCACCCACTTGCACAGTAGTGGTGGATGATGAGACAAAGATTGGTAGCAGTTCACCAGAATTCTTTTCCTCTTCTTTTTGGACACACAACCCATATTTCCGTCCTCTCTTGAAGTTAGGTGTGGCCATGTGCTTGAGTTCCAGCCGATAGAATATGAACTGAGGTAATAAGTACCTCTTCCAGACCTGGCCCATGAATTGGTCCCCCTCTCCTTCACCATCACCTTTCTCAACCAGGCTAGCTGATGTGGAGAAATATGAACCTCACAGTGAGTGTGTGAGAAAAGGCTGTCCTTCAGATGTCCCCTTGCATAGTGTGTTTCCTAGATAAGAAAGGAACTTTCACCATATGTGGACTAGCATGCATTTGGCTAGCAGCCTGGCCACCTTTACTGATACAGTAAATATGTGCTGGGCTCCACAAAGGATGTACCTTGTAGTAGAGTATGAGAGTTACTATCTACCTAGCATCTTCCACCTCCTCCTCTTCTCCTCCCCCTCTTCTTCCTCCCCTCTGTAAGAAAGCTTCTCTTGTCTTGGTAATCTCAGCATGATTTTCATAGCTGAATGTCTTTACCAGTAAATTGAGAGGCATTTCACAAGACCTTGTGTCCTTGACCACAGTGATAGGTTCAAGGGTAACCACCTGACCCAAGGCAGGCTAATCACTCATCGCTACAAGTCTTGCTGAAGCTGTCAGGAGAAAAAATGTCTCTCATTTTTGATGTGATTACTGACCTTAGAAGTGAAAATACTTTAGTGATCCTGGTGGCCATGAAAAGATTTTACAAAAGAAGGACTCCAACATGGAGAAAAAAACTAATACAGAAGAACATTTCCTTATAACACCATTTGAACTGTTGCATTCATTATGTTCAGTTCATACTTCCTGATTACCTTGGTGTATAAATTGCCTTTTTGTTTAAGCTGATTAGAACTAGTTTTCACAATACTTAGGGCTGCAAGTTACCAATTTACCACTTTTGCCCCTAGCCACTGGTTCCCTTGGGCCTCTGACTAAGGCATACCACTCCACCCCAACACATTCCCTGAGAGTGACAGTAGTATTCACAGTCCCATCTTCACATTACGCAGAATACCAAAATTCCTTAAATAGTGACAGTAATAGGTATGATTTCCACTGAGGAAGGAAGGGTATTAGTCATTCACAGGTGGTTTCAACTGGTAACACTTACTCCAGGAAGGGAGCCCTACTAGTGTATACTAGAACAAGATCTCATCAGAACAAATTCAGTAGAAGTAGCCACACTTCTTTTTATTGCACTGAACTTTTGTCTTAATGAAGTTTTTTGTTTTGATTTTTGCAGTACTAAGGATTGAACCCAAGGCCTTTACACTGCGGTATATCCCCAAACCCCCACCCTTTTTATTTTTCAATTTGAAATAGGATCTTGCTAAATTGCCCAAGCTAGGCTGGAATTTGCAATCCTCTTGCCTCAGCCTCCCAGAATGCTGGATTACAGACATGTGCCACCATGCCTGGTTTTACAAAAGACTTCTTCAAATAAATGATGAATTTGGCAGTTTGGAAATTTTTACAAATTTCTTCCATGTTTCTTTCTAATAGAATTTAATGAAAGATATTTCTGTGTTTTTCGTTAAAACAAAATGGTTACCACCCCAGGGATGTCCAAAATGGGGGGTTGGGGGCAATATAAATGAATTTTTACAATTACTCAGGCTCCCTCCCCAGCCTTCACATGAGTCCTTTGAAGATGTATAATCCATTTGCTTGGTCTTCAGTGCTGTTAGCTCATATTGCCAGGCTTTATTTTTGAATTTCAGTTTGAAATTTGTATGTGTGAACCATTCCCTTTTCAAAATGGAGAGTTTTCAAAGCCGCTTAATTCATCATTGTTGTTTTCTTTCATTCTGGTGAGAATCAGCCTGGCCATTTGATGTCCAGGTTTTCTTCCCTCATATGCATTTCCCAGCTTTGAGTTCACCATCTTAGCAAACCCACCCTTTGGAAAAGTAGACTTTTCTAGATTCATCTTGTTTCTTGAACTTTACCTTCCTATTCTCACCCTTGCTCTGCACACTCCACACCTTCCAAAACCAGGGGCAAGAGTCCTAACTCCAAGAACAGTCTAAGAACAGAGTTTCTAAAAGCCTGTTCCTTTTGGGGGAGGGGAGAGTTGGGAGAGATCGGCTGTGTGCAGACTTTCCGTGAAGGTCTTAGGTCTGTTAATAGATAGTTGGTGCTGGTTACACAACTCTGGAAATGTAGCTAAGGTTGCTTAGTTGTGCAGAGCCATGTTGGTAATTCCTACGAAAATTTTGTCACAATAAAAACAAATCTTATTTTTACTTCCTGTCTTGTGTAGTTGTATAAATTTCTAAATCTAAATGCTTCACACGTAAGGAATGCAAAAACAGAAATGAAGTCAAACAGGAAGAGTAGTTTTGTACCTTAGAAAAGTGCTGGACAAAACAGAGCATATATGTCCTTTGCCAACTGTCATTGGAGAAAAAACGGCTCAGTCCACCCCTGCGCAAGGAGAAAAATTTAAGAAAAAAACAAAAAACAAAATAAAACAAAACAAAAAACCAACAGGGCCCTGGGATGGTGTGGGCCGGAACAAGATGAATGCCCCCCACCCGAGGACTTGTGTTCAGTTGTCCACTACTTTTCATCCTTTGTCCCCTGTTTGATTCACATGCAGATTAACTCAGACCAAGTCCTCACTAAATACTCTTTTTTCACTCACTTTCATAAAGGAGGGGAGCATCTAAATATTTATGAGGTGCTTCCCCATTCTCTGGAAGAAGCGCTTTTCCAACTCTGTACTGCACCCAAACGCCGCAGCCTCCTGGAAGAGCTCACCTCGCAGCTCCTGCGGAAGGGGCGGGGGTTGGGGACAAAGGGTGCAGCTCAGCTCCAAAGAAAGAAAAAAGTTTCCTCTTTGCGATCCTGATTTGCAAGTGTAACGTTGTTTCAAGTCGGGTAGGAATGTGCGGGATGATGGTCCTGGCGAACGCGATGGGCATCGGCGCAGGGAAATGAAGGACAGGTTGTCAATACTGGAGATACTTTATCAGAAAACAAAGGATCCACGAGCAGTTGTTTTCTTTTTCTTTTAAAGCTGCACTTTATACATGTTCCTTCATTATGGATTGAGTGTGGACCCCTGAAAGGATTTGCTAGGGGTTTTATTGCACTGCCCTTGTTCATCACAGTTTTCTTCCTCTGTCATTTAGATACTGTTTTCTTTAGGCCAGCTACATTCCACTTTAAAGTGAATTCACCTAAATGTGTCTGCATGAAATTATACCTAGTTATGGATTAGAATGTAGATAGTCTTTAATTACATGTAATCTTTATGGTATTTTAATAGACTAATATATTAGCCCACTGGAACTGAAATGCAGACATCTTAATGGCCCTAATATCACACTGCCAGCTCTCCAAACTTTAATCATCTCCCTAGCCTCTCTTTGCTTTCCCTGCTCAGTGGGTGCCCCAGCAGCACACCAGGGCCCTGCCCAGGAGGGGTCTCAGTGTGTTCTTAAGTATTACTGGTACAGCTCAACTGATTTATTCTCATTCGTAGATCTTAATATAAAGAAGATTAAGGTTTTATTTGATATTTTCAAAATTTCATTCTGGATTCAAGAAATGTTTAGCCTGGCTCTCTTCATCTGTCCTTGTAGGTTAAAAGGATTAAAAAAGAAAACTTGGGAAATCTACCTCAGATGCCACCAGCACCAAGACTGCTTCTCCACCTGAAGGTGGCAAAGCAGAAAAGTAACTCCAGGCCAGCCAAGAGAAGCGCACGCTGCGCAGCTCTGACAGAGGGCTTTCCTGCCGACTTTTGCGACATCGGGAAATTTAGCCCTTGATTGTTCATACAGTACTTCTGTCATGTTAAAATGCAAACCCATTTTCCAGCACCCTCCTCTTCCCCAAAATCAGGTTACTTGACTCTTAGTTATTTAAAATGCAGATAGTAACTGAGTTTAGTCTATTTGTGTAACACTTATTATAATCTAAGCATTGCATGTTCTTAGCTTACAATCACAATGTCTTTAAGTCAGTATTATCAATAAGACAAAAGTTCACACAGAAGTTTTTAAATCTGTCATTGGACCCACTGAAAAAGAACTGTATTAACTCAGCATTATTTCATAGTCCTTTATTACTTGCTTGTCCAAATGAATAGGTACTTGAGTATATCTATGTTTAAAGAACACGGTAGCTAGATTTTTTTTTTTTCTTGAAGAAAAAGTTAATGAAAGTGTTCAAAGAAAATCTTCCAGATTCTCTAGGGAAAAAAAATCTATTCCTTGGCAAGGGCATTTTATAGACTGCTATGACATGGTAGGCATATTTCATACAAATATTTTTAAGTGAATATTGTGAGGCTTTGATCAAATAAATGTATGCATAAGTTTAGTTGTTTTATACATATATATATATCTATATAAACATAACTATTGTGTATTGATGGTACATTACAGAAGTTCAACTTGTATCCCACACTTGCCCCTGCTAGAGGCTGTGCTGGGGGACGGCATCACTGCCAGTGTGCCTGGGTGTGAAGGAGCAATGGAGCCTGGCTGACACACAACGGGGAACTATAGAGCCAGCCTTCTGACTAGCCACAGTGGGAAACCTGACTCTCCGTAAAGTAACGTGAGGATCCCCAAGAAAGTTTTCTCTTGACTAAAAAATATTCTGCACTAGTGAACTGTACTTTTTAAAGTTCCTATTAGTTATAAACCTTTAATATGTTTATTTGGGGGGAGAACATCATTATCAATTATTAACCTCTGCCTGAAATAAGTGTATTAGAATTACCGAAGAAGGGTTAGAAAAGCTGTATTTCAATTTAAAACACAGAATATACAAAGGGAAGAAAAGATCAGTTCCTTGCAGTAGTGTCCATAAACAAATATACTAGAATGGGGTTCCCTGAAAGTCATGGTAATAGGTTTTGGGGGCCTGGGGAGCTGCACACAAGAAAGAGATCTGGGAAGACAGAAGAAGCCAAGAATGAACCCTGTACAGAAGTTTGTTGAGAAAAATGAAGCAAATATGAAAACTATATTGTTACTTATAAAATTAGAATGTATATTTAAATTATATTATCCACATTAATAAGATGAGAGAACAGACAGTCTCATGCTGATGATAGTACTATAAATTGATAGATTTCTGTAAGGCAATTTAAATACCAAAAGATTTAGAATTATGTGTGCCTTTAGGCTATAATTTCACTTCTGGGCATTCATTCTGTATAAATTATCACAACTGAGCAAAGGTAGGGCAATATTATTTCAAATGGGGAAAATAGTAGAAAATTCTTCTATTATTTCCATATTTTAGCTTAGCTGTAATTTCTATAATAAACATAAATTAATTGTGGGATGAGAAATCAACAATAAATCCTGTTAAAAAACAAAAGCAGTGTCCAATCTGTGACCTCCTTTGTTGTCTACTAATTGAGAGTGTCCCTTCTGCAAACTTCATGGAAATTTCTCCAGTGTCACAGAAATGCTTAGGACCAACAATATAGAAAAAAACTGTGTGCATATACTCATGAGTCAGTGCCTTTCCCAACATCAAAACAAAACATGAACATTTTCAGGAAAATGATTGTTCTTTCAGTAATATACACAAAATTTCAATAAATTCAAATATAAATCCCTGAAAACAGTATATAAATTTCTGGTTTGCTTTTAAAAACACAACCACATACAAAGTACAAGTAACATTTAACGTTTCCACACTCTGAAGTTGGAGATCTCCTCTTCAGTGTAACCTCTTTTTTTCTAGTGCAGCTGTGTTTCCATGGTGTTTCATGCAAACAGAAAAGCATTGTGGAGCGTTATCCTTTCTCACACCAGAACTGATCCAAACTTATATTAAAACAGCTAGGAACAAATGAAAATCTCTGTAAGTGTTCACTCAGAGCTGAAGTATTAAAATGACCCTTTTTTTGCACTTTTTTCTCACAAACCTTTATCTCACGCCATGATTTTTGTCCCTCAAACCTTTTTAAATAGTTGATCCTTGAAACCTTCACCCAACTCATTGCAGGGTTTAAATGCACTGCCTGTCTCAGAGTGTTTACACATCAGTCTCAAACATGACAGGAATGGGCAGCCCAGCTCCTCCCCCATAGATTCCATGGAGGCACTGGGAGTGGCTGCCACACATTGTGATACTTCTCCAGCCTGCAACTCTCACTGCCCTAGACCAAGCCACACACTTCACAGCTAAGCCTAAATCCACATTAAATTTAAAAATTTACTGGCTAAATGCCGAATTCCAAACTACCCTGACCTCTTTGCCTCTGTTTTCTGATGGTGTGTACATGTACAAACTCATCTGAAAAAAGTGGGTTTGTATACAGGAGAGAAACTTTCCAAGCAGTCCCACAATGAAATAATCACTTGATTTTGTCCATAAAACAAGTTAATTCAGTGGAAAAAGAAAAACAAAAAGGCAAATATTTTCTTTTAAACTTTTTGATGAATCCTCTTAATTGCATGGTCTGTTTATGTTGGTTAATCATTGAGTTATCTGCCCAGTTGAATTTTAAATATGAGTTCTCAAGTCTAAGGGAGAATTGCCATTGAGTCACGTTTTAAATTACAATCATTTTACTGTGACCAATATTTAAGCATATGGTAAAACATAGCTAATTTTTAGTACTTCATACTTCAAGTGGAAAAGCCCCATGGGGCTTGTTTTGCCGGTGGCTGTTATTGGGCCCTGGCTTCTGTATCCCTTCTCTGAGCCTCACTATCTGGGCCTGCCCACTTTTGTCTGTTTTGCATATTGGGCTTTCTAAAGCAGACACAAAATGCAGCTTGAAAACTGGTGATCCAACCTAGACTTTCACTTAGCTCACCCCTGTGTGGTATTGTACAGACATTAAAACTTGAGAGAGCAGATCAAAGTTGGAGCCTACCCACCTTGGCTCCTTGCCTGCCCAACATGGTTATGCCTTTTGAAAACTTACTATGATTTAGCAGCCTTGCAGCATTCCTTCTACCATTTTGCTGTCTCCCATCAGTTTTTTCAGTGAACAGCTGAGTGCCAGTTCTTTACCTTTCCTGATTGCTAAAACCAATTGCTATAAGGGAATATAATGAGGACTAAGAGTTTTATAACACTCAATTTTAAGCAGAATTCATTTATAAAGTCATTCAGTTTTTCTAAACTATGTGAATGGAATTTGTTTGCATAAGTGTAATTCCACCAAAGCCTTCTAAACTGTGAACTAATTACATGATCTAATTTTGGAGCTTTCTCAAAGCTATCACTGAATTATCTTTTTCTTTTCTTTTATGTGTCATCTTGCCTTTTCATGTTTCATTAAGAATTAAAAGCCAAGGGAGACAAAGTACAAGCTATTTATATTCTATCAGCCCTCAAGATAATGGAAAATATGTTATCCCTGTTAGAACTACAGAAGAGTTAGGTGATTCCTAAACCAATATTTTGGCAAGGTATAAAGGAACAAATAATTATAAGCAGAAATATCTTAAAACATTTTTAAAGTAATCCTTAGGACAGTTATTATACTGATTTCAATTTTCCTTTGTAATTTACTTCTTGTGCACATGTGTCTATGTATGTTTGTATATATACACATTTGTATAATCATACATTTAGTTATGAGTGTTGGATACTGTGTCACAGGTATGGGCTTAAACCCTGTTCCTTCATGTGCTGACTGACAACAGAAAGTCACCTTGTATCTCTAGACTTCAGTCTTCTTATCTAAAATTAGAGCTAACAATGCTTGTTCAATCTGAATCAAGGGCTTGTAATAAAAAACAAAGGAGACGATGCATGTGAAAGTTTAGTCAGTTACATATAGAGGGTTCTAGTTACACATGTTGGCATATGCCATAGTTAGGCAAACAATTCAATGTAAGATTTGGGGCAATTTATTTAACTTCACCAAGCATATATTTTTTCATATATGAAAGAAGGATTATTGAAGTAATAGATTGTGGCTATAGAAGTAATAACTGTAGTATAATCTTGAGCCGGCACATATTGGTTATGACTCCTTTTTATTTAAGGAGTATAAACTAAATTTGTAATCACTGAAGGGAGGGAGGGAGGAAGGAAGGAAGGAAAGAAAAAAAGAAAGAAAGAAAAGAAAGAAAAAGAAAAGAAAAACAAAGAAACAAACAATATTTATAAAAATCTCAAGTAACCCTGGAAAGACTAAGAAAGCAAAGGAAGGAAGGAAGGAAGAATAGGAAGGAAGGAAAGGAGGGAGAAAAGAAGGGAGGAAGGGAGAACCAATATTTACAAAAGTGTGAAGTAACCCTGGAAAGGGCAAGGAAGCAACTGAGCCTGAAAAACCACTAGAGCCAGAAATCTGAACGCCAAGGAGACTTTCTCTTTTCTCTTTCTACTGCGTGTTGTTCCTGCTCTCTCAGACAAGCCTCCAGTGCAGAGGTGGACACACAGCCACCAGCAATTCCTGCTCCTCACCTCTCACAACTCAGCTATAAGGAAAAGCAAAACAACAAAAATACATTGGCTGAATTACCCACCTCCTCCCATAAGCCTGAGGCCAGTTGAAAGGTCCAAGAAAAAATCTTCAGTGTCTGAGCTCAGGATAGGATCCTCGAACGGGAGCATATCATTAGCAGCTACTCTGAATCAGGTGGTCAAAGTGAGTAAGAAGCAAAGCAGCAGTTTTCTCAAAGAGGTAACGTCCTCAGAAAAGAGGAAGGGTCCGAGGCACACATGAGCACTCACACAGATCAGTAGAGGGCTGACCCAAGTCTGACCTTCTTTAGCCTCTCTCTGTTGAGGATGTCATTAGCTCTTTAGCAAATAGGTGAAACAAACCCTTCCCCTGCCTGTGTGGTCAAGGCAGATGTTAAGAGCAAATCACTAAATAGACGCATAGGTTTTTACAAAGTTTAGAGTGCTCTACCACTAAAATATAAGCTAAGTTACCCCAGTTCTCTGTGTTTGGTACTGCCTATGACCCATACCATTCTACTTTATATTGTAGTTTCATGGGGTACAGAAGCACAATTAATACCACTTCCTACTTCTGTTTTGTTCAGAAGCAGAACTATTTAGAAATTTTTGTCATTGATAAAATTGTATTTACTACCTATTAAATCACACATGTAATTTTCTTGTGGCTGATATCTGAGTATTTCAGTTAGAAGTACATAGATTAGTAAAGTTTCCCATTCTTGAACAGTTTTCTCTAGGGTGATCCTTCTCGCCTGTGGGACTGTGTGTGTTTGGCAACAGCTGTCCCTAATGCATGGAGTCGTTTGTGGTCCTAAGGGAGAGACTTTACGTACTGAATTTCAGTTGCTTTGGCTTGTCAACAAGCCCCGGGTACCCTGCATTGGCTTGCGTGAGTGCCATCCACTGGAATGTGTCTCCATCCACCTCTCCCTTCCCAGCTAGGCTCATGTATCCTTCAGGACTGCTTGAAACCCACTGCCCTAGGTATCTATTGCATAAAGCACTTCTTTATTTTGTGTGAACATATGCTCTCAGCACAGCCATTGGCACTCCTCTGGCATAGCTTTGTGTATCATTTCAAGTTGTGACATGTGTAAATTTTGTCTCTCCAAAAGATTAAAACCTGAGTGAGTGCCATGTTTCTTTGCAGGAGCAGGCAGTGACCTTGGGTGCCGCCAGAAGAAAAGTATTTGTCATGTCATTGTAAAAGTTGGACTTACAGCAGACAAGCCTTGCCAACCTCAGTTTTCTGCCCCATTCATTTCCTTATGGGGCCCTGACCTGGTGGAGAATTGGAGACTGGGAATCTGGAATGTTTGTTTTTGTCTCTCTGGTACTGAAGTGTGGGACCATGCTAGGATGAACACCTCCTGTACATGGTTGCAATGAGAGAGCTAAAGGATGAGTGCTGAAAATAATATCCTGGGGTGAGGGCCAAGGTCATGGCCAGCAAATGAATCCAAATCGTGTCATAAATTAAAGCAACTTGGAAAACTGGGAGCTGAGGTACAGAGCCAAAATGAGTGGTGCTGAGCCACAGAGAAAGCCAACAGTGAAATGAGGGAGCCAGTGTGACAGGCCGTGCTGCTGAAGGTCATCTGGGGCTTTCCACTGTGAGCTGCAGATGAGCTGGGCTCACCACTGTAGAGGGAACCAAGCCCTTCAGACAGTCGCCAGAAGTGTGTTGCTCCTTTGCTAGGCCATTCCTCGGGGTCCCAGGGATTCCCCAGGTTAACTCTGATCTCTCACTTAAAGCTCATCACAGATGGGCAGGAAATTCTACACTAGTTATTCTAATCCCAAACAAGCTATGAAAGCCGTAGAGCCAATTCTAGGTTTAACTGTGTTACTTTTATCCAAAAAGAAATCAACTCCCACTTTTGTAAAGCCCTACAGAATATCCAGAGTACAATAAACCCAGAGAAAAGCCCCTGAAGCTAAAGGAGCTCACACAGTA